ACCAACAAGAGTATGCTAAAAAGAAAAAAGCAGCTAAATCTAGCAAAAAAGTCACCAACAACTAACATGGCTATTGTTCGTAGTCACAGCTGTTAGGATAGCAGCTCGTGGAAGAATCGAGTGGCGAGAAATGAGTGCACAGTCAAAATACGTGCAAACAGGCAGGTAGGTGGAGAGGCAGGTAGCCTGTCCAATCATTGCATCATATTATATTTTCTTTGTCCAAGTATTTGAAGTATTTGATTCATTGATTGCCATCTGGATGTAATGAGAACAAAGACATCAAAAATGTTTCCCAGTTGACTTTTACTGTGAAAAATCAGCAGGAAGTTTAGAGTTGCATGATAGCTTCACTGTGAGAAAAACAGCAAAGTGGAAAAGAAATAATCAATGATTGAAAATAGTATCTGTCAAAAAAGAGAGACTCAGAGAAGCAGAGGGGTGATGTGGTTGCATAATGGAACCTTGACAATGTAACAAGGTGTGACACGTGAATACACTTAACCACTGTCATTTTCCTGGCAGAAAGTGCATCAAGGATCATTATCATCTAAACCTACCATCATGTCAACATAGAAGCAAAATGGAATTACAAATACGCAGTTTCTTAAACTCTATAGCCCAATATAAGGAAGGTCATGGACCAGAGCAGATAGAGACAATCATTCACCAGGTCTGTCAGCTGAAGAGTAAGCTACATTTACCATAAACTGTTCTCTTTAAGCAATACAAGTACTCACAGCTGCAGGCAATCATGGGAACGAGATCTTAAAACTGGAATCACTGATCACCAATGGAAAACAATGATGTTAAATAGCAAAAGAATATGTAGTAATTACAAATCCCAAGAAATGGATTTTATTGGAGAGAAAAATGCCAAAATCATACTAAAGTTTCTTCTTAAGAGGTTTTGCAACCGTGGGATCCAAGTGACTCAGTGAAGGAAGAAAGTCCACAATATTTTGTTTGTCAATGGTATGTTGCGTGCTGTTCTGTTTGTGAGTGGCATGTCGCACTCCTGTGTAAACTGAAAATAAAAAGATTGAAAGAAAGAAGCAAAATGGAGATTTGCTTTCCGGTTGTTTTTTTTCCACTGGTATTCTTGTCAGAGAGGAAAAGTCTCTAAAACAGCTTGCAGATGATCACAGGACCACTAAACTCTTGATTAAACCCACACTAATGAAATTCATTCAAGTCATCAAGGCTGTGTGCGCCACCCCACCTATTCAGAGGGAGCCACGACTGTGACCATATGCAGTGTTCAGTTGAAAACTTGCTTGTGCTCAGTATAGAAATTGCCTGTCTGAGATATTCCTCATCGTTGGTCTTGGATCTGTATTGCCGCTCAGCACTGTACACTTTTGCAGATTCTATTCACCGTTGCCTTATGAACTGCAGCTCATTGCTGGAATGTTTGTGAATTATGTATCAATTTGAGGGCCTCTTGTTTTCTTTAATTGCTGCATTGGCAGACCTGAAGAGAAGCTGAAATGTCATTAAGCATGTGGCCGTACCTCAGGCTTTCATTTCTCCCCTCATGAAGCCAGAGCCCTCCCTTCTCACCATGCTGTTATGGCAGCCCCTCAGTTTATTAGATCGCCGCCGAGATGAAAGTCTCCACACCTCCATTACAACACCAGGCACACTGCTATTGCATATTAAAGCAAAGAATACAGTTAAAAGTTGAGTCTGTGATTCTGGAAAAATACTTAAATTTCACTCAAAACCCCAAAAAACACCCATTCCTCTTCTCAGTGCTCTTTCAGAAGCCCCCTCAGCTCCCAAATTCATGGACGTGCATTGCCATGGCAACTACAGTAGTCCATCTACTACTGAGCAATTTGGTAGAATCCAGAGCGTCCACTGACCTGTGGGTAAGTAGTACACAAACAGTATCCTAAACACAATGGAGTAGACTTTACGGCCCATTATAACGAAACCCTAATAGTCTGAAAAATGTCCCACTGGACTGAAAGTCCATTTGTCCAATGGACCGAAATCCTAAAAACAAACACCCATTGTTCCAAAAATACACATTCTCTGTGCAACAAACAGAAGGCGGTAGTTAATTACTATGCAGACGCCATGACCCGTCACTGCCTCCGATTGGCTTCATACTAGAGACGTGGGGGTTGGCGTTATATCTGCGGGCATCACGGATAATCTGCAGTTCGGGTCGTAAATGTTGACATTCTGATTAATAGCGGATGGGTGGATAAAATAATACATCATTAAAGAGGAAACAATAAATTACATTATCTAAAATGTGAACTACTGTGGAGCAGAGCTCTGCATATTTACACATGAGGGACAGCAGCATAACTTCACTGATCACACCAAAAGCTAAAAGTTAAGTGTTATCATATTGTTCTTTTAGATATAACGAGTATCGCTCAAACCTGCATATATGCAGACAACGCCAACTAGACTCATTTAAACCCAAATAATAAACATTATCATATCTAAGGCATATCATGTATGGCTTGCTATGACGTCATCCTGATTTCACCACTTAATCCTCTGCACAGGAAAACAACACCAAGGCTGGGAACTGGCCAATAAATGTTTATATATTTAAGAGTTTTCTCATCTCGGTTATTTCTCACAGGGAGGTTAAAAAGACTGTTTTTGACCACAGTTCTCTCTCCTCTGTCAAGTTCATAACTACAGTCAGTTTTGCTGCTTAAAAGTCCCACAATATTTGCTGCATGCTTGGAAATGTTCACAATTCTGAAACCAGCCTCTTTAATCATTGAAGTAAATTATTAAAGAGAACGCTCATTCATCACTACAATACTTACATTAAAGGGTAACATAGCCAACAGGGATTGGTAGAGGGGGAGTGAAATGTGCATGTCTCTAAACATGTACTAGCTAGTCAGATCTGGAGAAGGGCAGGTCATGCCTTCTGCATAACAATTAGCCATGTGCTTCTGTTCGTTGCAGTGGTCTTGGAGAGTTCAGGGTTAGTGCAGAATTTACCCTTCGTCCCGCTACCACTGCCTTTAGCGCAAATTCTTAAGAAACTAGAGCTATCTGAAAGTAGCACAAGTGTCACTTTGAGTTTCCGTCAGAGCAATGAAAGGGTCAATAACTTATGCAATAGTTTTATGACTTTCTGCTTTTGCGTCTAAAAAGCATAAGGAGTTTTGGCTCCGGTTTGTTTTATCCTTGTCCCGTTGATTGGCACATCTGGGTGATGCCGTTGATAGTGCTTTACGCATGTTGGATGTGTTCCTATTTACATAGCCAACAGTGATGGAGCAGCGTAGACACAGCGTCCTTGTCTTATGCACAACACAATATATATTTATCATTTTTAGTGTGCGTGTTTCACTATGTCTACATTTTGTATTTCCTTCATTTGTTAACCCATAGAATCCTGCAAGAACCATTTCATGTTAATTCCTTTGCTCAGACTGCACAAACAGTACAAGACTGTAATAAATGCAAATGCAGATCCCACTTGTTGTGATTGCATAAAAGGGTTTGTATTTTTACTCAGATTTTCTGTGGTGTGTTCTTTATACTGTGACAGTTTTCCTGAACTTAGAATGAAAACAATGGCAATATATTCCCTTGCTTACAGTATCTTAATATATTTAATCGCAACCCCTGCATAAAGATACCATCGTATCGGCAGATTCTTGCCAACAGCCTAACTTCAGACATGCAGCTGACGTACCGCACTAAAATCAGTTACACAGATTAGTTAGCTCGCTCCGACTGGACAGCCACAATAACGAGCTACCGCTCTCACCTACCTCCATGTAGATCCTAAGAATTTGACCTCGCATTAAATTGCGTTTGTCAACGGATCAGCCAAACCACCTCTGAAGGTGGTCAGGGACACATTGGTACCAAATTGAACACAAGTGAAGTTGCGCTTTCGATGTGGAAGCACATGTCAATTGTCGTACAAGCAGTAGCCTTTTCTGTTCACATCGGCTGTTCAATGGTTTTGCTGTCAAACTGGATAGTTCGGCCATAACCTATAACTCCATCTGACCACTGACGGATTGCTCCAGTTCAACTAAATGCACATTTACTGCCCGGTTAGACAATAGAAACACGTGGTCCCGTTACAGCCACTGGGTCCTGCTTGAGAAGAGACGGTCTGAGCGCACCCTTTAACTCAAGTGACATAATAGACAAACGGGCTGTGAAAACATGTCACACTTGAGACAGAAAGGGCACTATTTTGACGGCGCATTGTAGAATATTGTGAGGACTACCGCTGTGGTCATTCTGCCAGCCACGCCGAAGCTCCGTCTCACTACCCGGCTCCAGCTCCGCCAGATAATGTTGACTGAGGTGAGCGCGACGCGGCTTGGCAGCAGGTGAAGGGAAAGAAGACGTCACGCCAGACTCCGGCAGTAAGTAAGGTGCCTCGTTTGTCGGCTCACAGTCATGCAAAACGCCGTAACAGGATTGTCCATGCAGCTAGCTAGCTCTCAGGCTAAACATCTGTTAGCAATAGCGCAATCTGAATTTCCCTCTAAACTCCACCTCGGTGTTGAGAAGATTGAGAAAATGGGGCGAACTAAAGTTAAGGTTAGCTAATGTGAATTAAACAAGTTGACATTTTATTTAAATAACCATAAACCCACGAAGGGTGTGCATGACGAATGAAAACGACAATCACAACATTGCACATTGATATTAACACAAAAATGAATGGGGTCTGGCACACACGAGATATCGGCACGTATCGTTGCTGATAGCTCTAGCAGTTATGAAATTCACATGACTTCATTCTAACTGTAGCGAGCTGCGGCCACAGCTTTCCTTACCATGACATTAAAACACTTAGATTACCAGAAACAGCTAAACCAGTGTCGTGTACACGTATCACCTCTTTACCGCTGCGATTAACGTTAAATGTCACTTTGCTTAAGCGACTACAACTTGCCAGTATAGCCATTTTAAAGCACCCATCAGATAATAGGATCTGTTCTCGATTGTGTGGTGAAATAATAAAAGGCAGCCTCGTGTCTCACCTGCAGTATTGAAAACATTCTGCTTCCATTCCGTTGCCTCGCTGGGTGTTAAAAAGCCTCGGAGGACGGGGATCTCTACGTCCAGCTGCATCGCTAGCGCCTCTGGTTCCCGCTAAAGTGAAGTGAAAGCTGCTGCCTTCAGTCTGGACGGTCCTAGATCAGAGCCAGCGATTAATCGTTTTCTTAATGAGCCAAGTAGGTGTTTCTCAGTCAGAGATACAATGTTTATTTCCACACATGTGGCGCAAGTGGTATCAGCGAGCAGCCATGACAGATACGCATTGCATTGTGGGAGAATTAATCAAACGAAGATTGCGCAGGCTGTGCTGGGTTTTTTCAAAGTTCAGGCAGGAAGATCTTGATGTAGATGGGGACGCAATGTTGTATAACCAATGTTATCATGCATGTTAACTGCACTTACTGTTGGCTCTATTTAATGGCATATAATCGCATTTAACAACAGTTAGTGGCCATTATGGTCAAGAACAGATCAATGCAGTTTGTCGGTGTTACTGTACTGATAGTGTTACATCCTGTTTTATTTTGGTGTTTCCTGTTGAGCCCTCTAGGTTGATCGCTTGATTGGCGGGCCTCTGCTGTGCTGTGTCTGTAATGGCAGGCCCTTTTGTACTGCTCCCTCTCTCTCCACCCTGCTGCAGCAGCATCTTGGTATTTGTTTTTTATTTATTAATAAAACTCTGATCAGATGTTCTGGAGTTTTCCATCTCGGGGTTAATCAACTCAGAGTTCAGGGTTAAGGTCAGAGTTTGTTAAACCTGCTTTCGGAAATGGGGCCCAGGCTTCCAGAGGCTTATTACAGTAGACATAAAAGATGATACATTAAGAATTCTTTAAAATTATAATCCTTGAGATTTTCATGAAATTAAACCCTGTTTTTGATGTTATGTAAATGGTTGGTGAGTGTAACAAGTTGACATTTCTGTTTGATACCAGGCAAGGTCTGCGTTTTTCCATGATATAAAATCCTGGGTCATGGGTCAGTCTGTAAGCCTGTCGAACACTTTGGCCCAAGGCAAGATGTTTCAATAACTTCTGCTGATTTCCCTAAAGGTTGGTATATTTGTACATCCCAGAAGATACTGACTTTGATTACAAAGGGCCTCATGCAAGAACCCTCCTTACAAAGATAAACCTTAAGTGGTTTGTATGAGTGATTTAGGAGAACTTGCTGCACTCATAAATCTTCTTGTCGTACTTTGAATTTTATCTTAAGTGGGAACACAAATTACGAGTGGTCCGCACCTGTCCTATAGGAGTCATGTACAATGAGTCTGCTGTTATCCAAGTTTTTCACTAATGGATTGTATATTTCATTGCAATCTTGTGTTAGAAAATCCTACATAAATTAAACTTCATAATTATGTTGATTTTATCCTGTTTGACTCTGCACTTTGAATAATAATATAATTCAAAATTGCCTATTGATTGCTATTTCATAACACTACATCATCAATGTGAACATTTCAAAACTTAAATTATGCACTAACTGAAGGTTAAATTTGTCTCTGTATATAAAAAGGTTGGTGAGAAGTGTAAACGGCGCATTGTAGAATATAGTGAGGACTACCGCTGTGGTCATTCTGCCAGCCACGCCGAAGCTCCGTCTCACTACCCGGCTCCAGCTCCGCCAGATAATGTTGACTGAGGTGAGCGCGACGCGGCTTGGCAGCAGGTGAAGTAGTGAAGAAGTGCAAACTGGCGCGTCATGGCTGACTTACTTCTTACATTACATTGCAGTCATTTAGCAGACACTTTTATCCAAAGCGATTTACAATTAAGATTCTATCACACCGTAGGCACAGCTACGGGAGCAATCTGGGGTTAAATGTCTTGCTCAATATCATTGGAGTATTAATTATGCAAATTTAGAGTTCTGATGAACATGCGCTAATGTCCACACAGGTGACATTGATGTTTATGCTGGTCATTTACAGAGTTATCTAGTCAGGAGTGTTTGCTGAATCTAACATGACTCACTTGTACAAGTCCACCATGCAGAAAAAAGTAAGAGAAAGTTCAAATACAAATATGAAAATGTTCTTGCATGAACCCAATGTTCTGGCTGTCTCCATGTGGAGGCAATAAATATGCTCTGAATTCTGTATTGAGCACCTTTAACCTGGTTAGGACTTCTCTTCTACTATGTAAAACATCTCTGGAACATTTAATGTACTTCCATTCCTCTTCTTCAAAAACCACCCATGGATGAATTGTTGAGCTTTAGGAGCCTCACCAAGGATGTGTCATCTGCATACTTAACAAAGGTGTGAGTGGAGACTGAGACATGTTCCACAAGGAGTGGAATAGAGAGCCACGCCCAGACAAACACACACACTGACAGAGAGAGAGAGAGAGAGATAACTAACAAGAAATACAAGGGAGGGGAAAACTGCAGAAACACAAGGAATGAGGGGGAGGCACAGCTGGGACCATGACATGAAAATCATTTGTATACAGTGTACTGTATAAAAAATGGGAGACAAAAAACAGCCCTGTATTTCAATTTAGGAAAGGAGATAGCTGTGTTGAATCTAACCTGCTGGGTACTATTCAGGAGAAAAGGATTCATCCATAGAATGAGCCTTGAATTAACTTGATCCATCAGTTTCCCGACCAGCAGGTGGGCTCCAAGGAACCTAAAATGCTGGGACCACAGTGAGGAGATGTCTTAATACTATCTTCTCAAAACTCATAGGTACTGAGGTTACAGCAACTGGCTGCAGGTAATTAATCTCTCTGCCAGTGTACATGTCAAGAACAGTTTCTTAACCTCATCCAGGGTAATCCTAATGTCACTAACTGGTAAACTCCGCCTGCTGTGGCGCATTATCAGCGGTGTCAAATCTACAATAAAAACAGTTCAAGTCATTGGCAAAGACAGAATCACTAGCAACATTCATGTTGTGCGTTTTAGGCTTAGAACCTGTGATCATTTGTAGTCCCCGTTACACTTTCTTAGCATCATGGTCAAAAAATGAATTAAAAAATGGCTCCTACTGTTAATAAGTCAAAGTATCCTTGAGCGAGACACTGAACCCCAAGTTGCTACGCGTGTACTTCACAGCAGCCCAGTGCTCCTAAATGCTTAGGATGGGTTAAATGGAGAGATTGAGCCATGCATACGAACATTTTTGAGACATGGGGAAATTAGCGACGCCGATGGTGAGGTGATGAATTGAAGCCGGATTGTAATGAAATGTCTGAGGCATCATTACAGGTATAATGATGCCTCTCACATTTAATATCACTTCATATCACACGTTACTTTGCACTTATAAATTCTCTTTGTCATTAACAGTCAAACCAGCAGTCTCATTTTAGTGAGCCATAACTATAAGCACATTTCAATTGTTAAAGATATAAACCAGCTAAAACCTCAAATCAAATTTCGCTTAATATTTCATCAGCGCTGTCTGCAACTCGGAGGAGAGACCGAAACTATCGACACTAGTGGTCAGCTGTGGTAAGATAACATCAATTAGCGCTAAAGAAATGCAGAACAGAGCAATAATCTTCTAATAATGTGAATAATGTTATCACCAATTACATATCACAATTATTCTGTGAGTAAAATCTCTGCATTAGCAATGTGGGGAAATAAAGCCTGTGACAGCTGTCGCACGATCACTCCATATCTTCACTATCAGTCCTTATCATAATGCCATAACATAAGTAAATTAATAAATTGTGTTCACTTATCAAACTTCCTTTTTTTTAAATTAGTGGATACCACCGATTGTCGCAATAATTTTGGAATCAATACGTATCATTGAATGATACATACTTCTGTCGTCATTGTATTTATAAATTGCAAATGCTTCATCTTAGTTTGAGTTTATCCCATAGGATTGGATGTTCAAGTTTGAGATAGTATTTTTGTAAAGCCCAGCAGCTTGATGATGCTCATACCATCCTCCTGGCATGCAAGATCACAGGTTGGTTAGATCCCCCTTCTTTTGATTCTGTTCACATGCAAAGCCAGTGTAGAAATGTTGTCGCATACACCTGCTTATAAAGTGTCAAATATACAAATGGAAAGAGAGAGCTCTCTCCTGCAGGGGCACTGAGTCATCTTTTTACAAGCAACTTTTCCTGTTCACTGTCATTTCTGCTTCCAAGGGTGAAGCAGCTCCTGGCTGCTGCAGCTGAGCCACCAGATGATTCAGGTTTTAACAACTGTGGTGGTGATTGCTGAGGACCCAGAGGTGTTCCTCTGATTAATGGGTTACATTTCACCTTAAGGACATGGAAACTCAGGGATTTCATTGTTATACATTGTCAGTAAAAAAAAAAAAAAAAAAAAAAAAGAATTGAGAATGAAGGAGCAGGTTCCCCTTTTGTTTGTCTTCTGCACAAGGACTCCCATGCACATGCATGTGATGCAAAGCGCATTCCTGCCAATGTTTCACACTATTCGATCGATCAACAGGTGGCTGTAGGAACATAACAATGCACCAACAAAGGCAGGGAATAAGAAGGCTGCTAGCTGGGGAACAATGTTGGAATTAAAATACTAGCTCAAGGCACAGTGCATTTTGGTGAGTAGCACTGAATGTAAACATAACCTTTGTTTGTTTACAAGAAAACTCCTCAGGGCACCTTTAAGTTAAAATGCAAAAGTATAATCCCTCAAACGGGCGACTGTGGCTCAGAAGTTAGCGGGTCGTCTTCCAAAGATCGGCGGTTCGATCCACGGCTCCTCCAGTGCGTGACGGTGTGTCCTTGGGCAAGACCCTTAACACCAAATTACTTCTGAAGGCTGTGCCATCGGTGTATAGATGGGTGTGAATGTGTTTATTCCTGATGGGCAGGTGGCACCTTGCATCGTAGCCCCTGTCATCAGTGCATGAATGAGTGAATTATGACATGTAGTGTTAAAGCTCTTTGAGTGGTCTGCAGTGGGACTGTGAGTTTGTGAATCTGTGGCACTGGACCGCATGATAGCCTTTACAATATTAGGAGAATAGCATTATTGATTATATTAGATCATGAAATGAGAGACTTTGACCGTACAACTGTGGTGGAAATGAATGTATTTCCTTGTGAGAAATCAAAAGTATCTTAAGCTCTCCATCTTTAAGTATTCATTACAGGATAAGATATAGAAAAATGATGAAGAGTGTACAAGTCATCAAACATGAGCCAATGAGTACAAACAGAGTCACAGGAATACTATTCAGCTGAAGAGGGACAGAGTTCCTTCACCCTCCGTGAGGATCAAGGAAGTCTGACCTCTTTCTCGGTGGACAGAGGAGCTTTATTACACGTCTGAGAGACGTGCTTT